TCAACCTTTTTTGTTGTTCACTCAGAGAAGAGTTAGAGTCTGCTGTGAGTCTTTCCGGCCGGGACGTCCAGTTTTGTGTTGGTGTATGCTCTGCCTAGGCTGTGTGGCTCTCCAGCCTTGTGTCACGGTGAGAGTTTTTCTTACATCAATACTTGTGAGATTGTATATCCTAGTGTGATTGTACTATTGCTTTGCTTTTGTTGTATCTGTGGCGGAATAATAAAGGGCACGATTATTCTAGCAGAACAGTGTTTGTGTATTTCTTTTCGATCATTGTACTGATTACTCTTCCGAATCCTGGTTTTATTTAAACAAATATCCCAAATCACCAACGAACCGGAAAGATGAGATTTTTTCTAGATTTGTCAATTTTGAACTGTGAGAAACAACATTCCATTAATGCGCCCGAGCTGCTCTGCAGCCGCCGCACAGAGCAGGGAGGAGAATTCTGCCTTATCTGGACATCTGCTGCTGCTGAGCAGTTTGTACAGACAGGTGGCTGCAGTGCAACTCACGTGAACCGGTTGAGTGATATCAGCCGTTTCCCGTTAGCAGACCTACATCACACATGTCAGACTTAACAGAGGCACACACATTTAACGAGCTGTGGGGGCGCTGTGGTTCTCCACACAGCAGCTCATTTAAATGTTTTTGGAGTGTCGCACGGGGTTTTTGAATGTGATTCAACACTTTGCCTCTGTGCTGCGGAATCATCAGGGTTTTTGATTCACACAGACAGCAAGTGACTGTTGCATGCATAACTGGCAGGAGATGTATGCGCTCAACCCATGTGCCACATTGTGAGACAGATGCTGTGTGGGGCACACCCAATCTGCTCTCCTTTGGAGTAGGGTACATCTCCTGTGTTCTGAACAGGGGACGGATGTGATGTCCAAAGACGGTCCTTTGCGGCACGGGGACCGGGGACCTTCCATCCATAGCTATGGCTCAGACGCGGCAGAAATCCTGCGAGCGGCTGTGGACCTGTTGCAACACGAGAGAACGCTCGATGTCAACTATAATTATCATGGCGCCACGGGACGATCTACCGCCAGGGGTGGACGTGTTTGCTCGCAGCCTGTGGTCGTAATGCTTCATCACCTCCCTCATTCCCTCTGATATCACGGTTTTCTGAACCGAGCTCAGGAGGAAGGACTGACAGCTCCTCTGTCCCAAGTGCGTGAACGCATCATGGTTCCCAGTCCTACGACACTTTTTATTGGGGTGCTCGTGGAACCTGCCATGGAGGGAGGTCGCTCTCCTCCAGGCGGGAGGAGCGATCAGGAGTTAATCAGAATAGGCCAGCACCTGTGGTCTGGCTGTTGTGCGGATCCTTTTGAGAGGATGGATCTCTCTCAAGATGTAGTGCATACGATTCAGGATTCACGTGCTGCAACCACCACAGCGCTGTTCACATCAAGTGGTCAGTTTTTCAGCGCTGCTGTACAGAGAAAAGTGTAGAGGCCATTTCATGTTCACTAGGTGGTGTGCCGTCCTTTCTCCAGCAGATGATGGACAGAGATCTGGCGTTCAGCTCGAGTAAAGTGTTCACTGCGGCCATCTCTTCCTGTCACAAAATTTTTGAGACAGAACAGTTTTAATCATCCGCTGATGAAACGTTTTGTAAAAGGTGTACAGAGAAGGCGTAGAGGCCACTTCATGTCCACTGGACGACATGCTGTCCTTTTCTGCAGCACTCGATGGACAGAAATCTGGCGTTCAACACGATTATCGTATGCTATAGCCATGTTTTCTTCTTGTCTCAAAGTTGTCGGAGACAGAACAACCCTTAATCATCCGCTGATGGAGCATTTTGACCAGATTGAAATAGCAGCTGTGGGCCTATTTGCGACACGAGAAAACGCTCAGTGTCAATTATGGTTTTCTCTGAGCCCGCGAGACGAACCACCACTGAGGGTGGATGCGTTTGCCCACAGGCCATGGCCCAAAATGCTTCTGTACGCGTTTTCCTCCACCTCCTCTGATTTTACGGTTCCTGAACCGAGTTCAGGAGGAGGGATTGACAGCTCTCCTGGTGGTCCCCGAACGCGTGAACGCACCATGGTTCCCAGTCCTGCAACGCCTGCTGTCGGGGCGCCCGTGGAAACTGCCATGGAGGGAGGACGCTCTCCTCCAGGCAGGAGGAGCGATCGGGAGTTACCCAGAAATAGGCCAGCACCTGTGGGTCTGGCCACTGAACGGATCCGCTTAGAGAGGATGGGTCTCCCACAGGATGTAGTGCACACAATTCAGGTTTCACGTGCTACATCTACCACAGCGCTGTACACATCAAAGCGGAAAGCTTTTCAGCGCTGGTGTACAGAGAAGGGTGCAGAGGCCACCTTCATGTCCATTAGGCACGATTAAACGTACGCTGCAGCCATCTCTTCTTGCCACGAAGGGTTCGGAGACAGAACAGTTTTTAATCATCCACTGATGAAACGTTTTCTAAAAGGTGTACAGAGACGCAGGCCTGTTTCACGCCCACTTGTTACATAGTGGGATTTAACGCTGGTCCTGCAGGCTCTGATCAAAGCTCCATTTGAGCCTTTGGATCAGGTTCCACTTAAATTCTTGTCTCTTAAAACAGCTCTGCTGCTGGCTTTAACATCCGCTAAGAGAGTGAGTGATTTATCTGCCCTCTCTGTCGCGCCGTCATGTCTCAGAATTCAGGCTGACAGCAGCTCAGCTGATTTAAGACCAAACCCAGCTTTTATGCCTAAAAACATCACAAGCTCTTTTAAATAAAGAGTGATATCGTTGGAGGGGTTTTTCTCTTCTCTTCCCCCCCACAGATCAGAAGAAGTAGCGTCTTTCCATCTTCTCTGTCCGGTGCGGGCATTGACGTGTTACATAGCGCGCACAGCTGCAAAGCGTCAAACTCAACATTTGTTTGTGCATTATAGAGATGCATCTGCAGGTCGCCTGTTATCCACCCAGCGCTTGTCACATTGGTTGTGTGAGGCCATTTCTGAAGCCTACAGAGCATCAGATTTAGAGCCTCCTGTCAACCTCAGAGCACACTCGACCAGGGGTATCGCATCTTCGACTGCCTTGCATAATGGTATGACAATGCAGGACATTTGCACTGCGGCCACGTGGTCAACACCCTGCTCATTCATTCGCTTTTATCTGTGATGTGACGGCCCGTTCCATGACACATTCTGTCCTTAGTGTTTACAGAATGAATATTGTTGTTTCATGGAACTCCGTTTTACTCACATCTGTCTGCATGCATTACAGTGTGAGATGTTGTTATCAGTCACAAGTTGTGATTGTTATTTTGGTTCTATTGTCACTAATCAGTTCACGACTATTGTTACCAATCAGTTCATTTGATTAATAATCAGCTCTCCTGTTATTATTAATCTGTTCATACTGTTCAGCCGTAAACCAGTTGGTTCATGGCTCTTTTCAGCATTTTTCCCTCCCCGTTGAAGTTTTCCGTGGCGTTCATGCATTCAGAACGCATAGTTACACAACATGCGTCTGTGCATGGCACACATAATTACGCAACGCGTATTTACGCACATGGGGAGCTGAGTGACAAGATGTTTTTTGGGCAAGCTTCTGCTTCATACGGTGTTCGAATGGACCCAGTGAGGCGAGGACAACATCCGCTTCGCCCTTAACCCATCAGCGACAGCCTTAAAGGGCGAAGCCTATACGAAATAGAACATTGGTTACGTACTGTAACCCCAGATTCTATGAGTATAGGCGTAGCCCTTTAAGCGTTGGGCCTCACTGGCTCCTAAATGGCTGAAGGAAAAGCTATTTTTGGGAGCCGATTACCCGCTCTTAACGTAATTTATACGGACTGGGTGGGGCCCACACAGCAGGTGGGCGTGGACTAAATTTTTCAGTGCACTGCTTTGCATATCGGGATAAACCCATTAGCGACAGCCTTAAAGGGCTATGCCTATACTCATAGAATCTGGGGTTACAGTACGTAACCAATGTTTTGCTGGGACAGTCATCTAGTGGCACAGCTCTGGCGACCAATCAAGGCTGCTGTCTGCTTACACCAAAATTGGCCCCTATGAGCAGCCCACTTGGAACCATCAGCAAGGTGGTCCCATAAATGGGGCTGAGTGAGGTGGATCCTAACAGTGGGGAAGCCCTGAACTGGTGCCATATCATGCAGAGACGAGGAGAGTTGAGACGGTGGCAAAGTGCTAGATTTCTCTTTCTATCCACACCACAACTTAAACCCTGCCCTAATGCTGCGAGCCTTACTGCTAACCTTTTGGTATCTTGCACACATGAAACATCTACTTTCCTTTTCTGCATCATGTCAGCCAGCTCTCGCCTGTCATTACCCCCAAGTTTAGAGTTGCAACCCTCAATCCTACATTCTTGATTTTCCTCTTCTCCCTTTGTCTCCTGACAAGTTTTTCTCCTCGTGGTTTTCTACTAACAGTAGCACAATTTCTGCTGGCACCCTGTTTGTCAAAAACACCGGTGGAGGTCGTTATCATGGGCCTCAACCAATCCGTATGGTGTCACTGAGATGAATTTGCATGTTTGTTTTGGCAAAAGTGTTTTACGTTGGATGTCCTTCCTGACACAACCCTCAGTATTTACCTGGGTTTGGGACCAGAACCAGAGATAGACTGGCTTGTGCTCCCTGGTGGCTGGTTTTGCCAATCCTTTCCACCGCTGCACATCATCTCCGCTCTTGTTCGAAATGGGGAATGTGCATCTGTACATTTTTGGGGAGCCTCTGTTTCCAGTGGCAGTAATGGAGAAGATTCCACTGGTTTAAAAACTATAATTGAAGACCAAGTCTTCCTGCTTCCAACGTGTCATTTTGATGAGTGCACTGACTTGAAGTCTTATGAAAGTCCAACCCCAAATAATGTTCATTTATATTAAAGAATTAAATAATAATATCACTTCCTCTTCTACTGCCGTTTTCCTGTGCATCAGAACTACATATCCTGTACTACCTGCACAAACTACATTTTTAAAATTAAAAAATAATAAATAAAAAACAGTACTGTTTGTCTTTATTTGCCAGGTTGTCCAGTTGGCTGTGCCACAGAATATCCTCCTCCCGTCGGTTAAAAAAGAGCAGCTTTGTTTGTCTGAGAACACAAACACAAAAATTGGTTATTAAAATGTTTAATTGTCCATTATTAACATTAGCAATAAAATGATAATAATTACATTCATTTTTTTGTTACAAAAGGAGAGAGAGCTTTAAGTTTAACTCAGAAGAACATTTTCTGTTTTGGATTGTTGCATAAAATCTGCTGTTACTGATTTCATATTTACCCTTTTTACAGCATGAATAATTTATTGTGTTGCCTTTAAAAACACATTAAAGGAACATTTTGAGATTTGAAATTCATTTCACAAGTACATTGTGTCTTTTAAAGATATGTTTGATTCTTTTTGGACATGCAGGTGAATGATTCGCTGGTCACCTGGATCAGAGACTACCTCACAGGTCGGCCACAGTATGCAAGGCTGCAGAACACCTCCACTGACACCATACTGAGCAGCACAGGGGCTCCTCAGGGGATGGTCCTCTCACAGTTTCTGTTCACCATCTACACCTCGGACTTCATATGACTCTGCCATTGTGAGCTGCATCAGGAGAGATCATCTTTGGGCTGCAGCGAGAAAATCTGACTCAAACACTGATTGGTTGAGTTTTCGACAGATGAGGAATAAATGTACAACTGCTGTCAAAGCAGCAAAACGCAACTATTTCTTATCTCAGACCTCCAAAAATCTAAATGACCCTAACAGATTCTGGAAAACCATCAAATCTCTCTCAGGCACCCCCCAATCATCTGACCTCCCATCACAACTTCTCGTTAACTCTGCTCCTGTGTCAAATAAGCACGAGATCCTGAACTGTTTCAACAAACATTTTGTTGCTTCTGGTTCTTTATTTGACACAGTTACTAATGGAAGATCAGCCACTTCACTTAATAACCAAACTTCTACAAATCAAATCCCTCCTACAAGTCAATCCTCAGTTAATCACACCTTCTCCTTTTCTCCATTCTCAGTCAGTGAGGTCAATAAACTGTTAAAAGATCTTGACCCTAAAAAATCTGCAGGTCCAGATGAACTTCCACCTTATTTCTTAAGGCTGGCTGCTCATATCATCACAGTCCCTGTGACCCACATCTTTAATCTCTCCATAAGACAAAACTCCATCCCAGATGCTTGGAAAACAGCCATTGTTCTTCCTTTGCTGAAGGGAGGAGACCCCACCTCACTGAACAACTATCGACCAATCTCTAAACTCTGCATTTTAGCCAAGGTTCTAGAAAAACTGATAAACTCTCAAATCAAAGATTACCTGGACTCATTTAACATCTTACCTCCACATCAATCTGGTTTCAGGAAACAACACAGCACAACCACTGCTTCACTGAAGGTTCTTAATGACGTTGTTGAAGCACTGGATGCTAAGGATTATTGTGCTGCACTTTTCTTAGACCTGTCTAAAGATTCTGACTCTGTGGATCAGAACATCTTGTGTCATAAACTCTCAGAAATCGGTTTCTCAGAACACACCATTGGTTGGTTCTCTAACTATCTCTCAGACCGGAGGCAATGTGTTCAACATAATGTTACTTCTTCCAGTTATTTAACAGTCAACAATGGTGTACCACAAGGCTCAGTCTTAGGACCCACCCTCTTTACAATCTACATACATAATGTGGGTAAAAACATCCCTAATGCATCCATACATTTCTATGCTGATGACACAGTTGTTTATTGCCGAGCTAAAACTGTTGCTAAGGCTTTCCAGCTTTTGAAATCTGCATTCAACAACATCCAGACTGATTTGTTCCGCCTCAAACTTGTCCTAAATGCCGACAAAACCAAAGGGATGCTTTTTTTCAAACAGGAAGCTGGTCCCAGCAGTTCTTCCTCAAATTTTATCCTCAAATGGTGTCCCCATTGAGTTTGTTGATTCCTATAAATATTTGGGTATCTTGGTCGATTCGCATCTCTCTCTTAAGCTCCATGTGGAAAACTTGGTAAAGAAACTGAAAGTTAAACTGGGTTTCTTTTTCAGAAACAGATCCTGTCTAACCCTGAACCCTGAGGAACGCCTTGTATCTGTGACTTTCCTTCCCTCCATTGATTACGGTGACATTATTTACATGAACGCTCCTACAAGAACCCTGCAGATGTTGGATGCTGCAGATGTTGGATGCTGTCTATCATGGTGCACTAAGATTCAGAACTGGCTGTAACTACCGTACCCACCACTGCACCCAGTATTCATTAGTTAACTGGTCACCATTAACTTCACACAGACTCTCTCACTGGTACATTTTCATCTTTAAATCACTTCCTGGTCTGCTGCCTTCATACATCTCCTCCTACATGTCTCTGTGTGAGTGCAGCTACAGCGTGCGCTCTCAGGACATCATTACCTGCAGTGTTCCCTCAGTGAGGACTGAACTAGACAAAAGGTCCTTCTCCTACTCCGCTCCTGTTTCCTGGAATATCTTGTAAAAAGACCTGAAGCTCTCGACCTTTGACCTCTCTAAGTGGCTTTAAGAATCTGTTGGACTCCTGGCAGGGACCAATGCAGACATGTTCCTGTTGTTAGTTTTCTACATTCGCCTTAGAATCTAGCTGTTTTTTTGTTACCTTTTTCTTTTAGCCATCCTATTTGTAAAAAAAAATAAAAAAATAAAAAAATAAAAATAAAAACCTGCAGTATTACTTTTTATAATTGTGTATTGTTGTTGCTGTTGTCCATTATTGTCATCATTCTTTGTTGAAATCAGGTCTCTCTTGTAAATGAGTCCTTGAGGCTCAATGGGATTTACCTGTAGAAATAAAGGTTGAATGAATGAATCACTGGTGACCAGGAAGCTGAATACAGAGGTATGGTGGACAGAACCACCTGCAACCCAACGTTGTAAAAACTAAAGAGCTGCAAGTGGACTACAGGAAGAAGATCTCCCCCCCCCCCCCAACCCTATCAACATCAAAGGTACTAAGGTGGACACTGTGGACTGATACAAGTACCCTAGGGTCCACCTAGACAATAAACTGGACTGGACAGATGACACCAACGTCCCCTACAAGAAAGGGCAGAGTCGCCTTTTTCTTCTGAGGAGACTCAGGTCCTTTAACATCTGAAGGACCATGCTGCAGATGTTTTACCACTCGGTGGTCTCCAGCATCTTCTTGTACACTGTGGTGTGCTGGAGCAGCAGGTGAAGGAAGCTGATGTCAACAGACTTGATAAGCTCATGAAGAGAGCTGGCTCAGTTCTGGGAGTGGACCTGCAGTCTCTGACAGAGGTGTATGATCAGAGGATGCTGAGGAACCTGATCCAGATCCTGAACAACATGTCACACACCCTGCAGGACACCCTGGACTCTTACTGCAGCACCTTCTGTTGTAGAATGACACCACCAAGGTGCTCCCCCTTTCTACACAGAGGACAATAAAATGAATCCTGTACTATAATAAACACTTTAATGTTTCTGTCTGCACCTGTTTAGAACTGAATTGTTGGTATTTTTATATTCTCTGTTATTTTGTATATCTTGTGTGATTCTTGTGTATGTTCCTTTGTACTGAAACTCTGGCACAATAATTTTCTGCGGGATCAACGAAGTTCTATCTTATCTTATCTTTTGATCTTCAGGATTGTTCTGTGAATTATAAAGCTAATTTGCTGCTGAATAAGTGACATAAAATGAAAACAACCTGAGAATCTGCTTCTGAGGTTTAACCAGCATATGTGTCTACTGAGAGAAAAAAGCTTCCTAAATTATCGGCGTGAAAATGACACATGGAAACTTCCAAATTTGCACCGTATTCAATGACACTAAAACAAAAGGCGTGTAATTACTAGTGAAGAGCAATGAATGGAATGACCTACTTCTCCACTGGACCAGCACATCTCAACACAGTTCTGGTTTAGTTGCAGTTCAGCTAAACTCACTGCATTGGAGGCCTTAATACTTCCTGACATCTTTAAATACTCTTATACATGTTCTGGTCATAAAATTAGAACATCATGAAAAAGTTGATTTATTTCAGTAATTTCATTCAAAAAGTGAAACTTGTTATATTCATTCATTACACACAGACTGATATATTTCAAATGTTTATTTCTTATAATGTTGACTATTATAACTGTCAACTAATGAAAACTCCAAATTCAGTATCTCAGGAAATTAGAATTTTACTTAAGACCGATTAAAAAAATTATTTTTAGAAATGTTGGACAACTGAAAAGTATGAACATGAAAAGTATGAGCATGTACAGCACTCAGTACTTAGTTGGGGCTCCTTTTGCCTGGATTAATTCAAAATTAAATTCAATTCAAAAATACTTTATTAATCCCAGAGGGAAATTAAATGTTGTAACTCATCATCCTGGTTTCATTAAAGAGTTGTTCTAGATGCTGATGGCTGTGGGCAGGAAGGATCTCTTGTAGCGTCTGTCCTACAATGGATCTGAAGAAGCCTCTGACTGAAGACACTTTGTTGTTGTATGACAGTCTGATGAAGAGGATGCTGAGGGTTGTCTATAATGTTCTTCATTTTATGAAGAATCCTTCTTTGTACAATCATCTCCAAAGGTTCTAGAGGAGTCCCCAGAACTGAGCCAGCCTTCTTTATAAGCTTGTTGATCTTTTTTAAGTCACTTGCTCTGGTGCTGCTACCCCAGCAGATGATGCAGAAGAGACAGCGCCCTCTACAACAGACTTATAGAAGATATGCAGCATCTTGCTGCAAACATTGAAGGACTTCAGCTTCCTCAAGAAGTACAGTCTGCTCTGTCCCTTCTTGTAGACGCTTCACTGTTGCATTTCCAGTCCAGTCTGTTGTCCAGATGAACCCCAAGGTATTTATACTTCTCCACCACCTCCACTTCTTGGAAATAAGGTTGGACCTGTTCCTGTTTCTCCTGAAATCTAAAATCATGTCCTTTGTTTTGTTCACATTCAAGATGAGATGATTGATTCCACACCATGCCACAAAGCGGTCCACCAGTTCCCTGTACTCAGCTTCTTGTCCATCTCTGATACACCCGACTACTGCAGAGTCATCAGAATATTTCTGCAGATGACAGGAGTCTGTTTTGTACTGGAAATCTGAGGTGTACAGAGTGAAAAGGAATGGTGAGAGTACAGTCCCCTGTGGTGCTCCTGAGCTACTGACCACCTGGTTAGACTCACAACCCTTCAGTCTCACAAACTGTGGTCTGTTTGTCAGGTAGTCTTTGATCCAGGTGATTGTTGAGGCCTCCACCTGAGTCTTCTGGAGTTTCTGACAAAGCAGATCAGGCTGGATTGTGTTAAATGCACTGGAGAAATCAAAGAACATGACTCTCACAGTGCTGTCTGCCTTTTCTAGATGACAGTGAGTTTGCTGAAGCAGGTGTATGATGGCATCTTCAACTCCAAGTCCACACTGATAAGCAAACTGCAGTGGGTCCTGATATGTGCTTGTTTGTTTAGTCAGGTGGGTCAGCAGAAGTCTCTCTAGGACCTTCATGATGTGGGATGTCAGAACAACAGGTCTATAGTCATTGAGGACTGATGGGTGAGTTTTCTTTGGCACTGGAACAAGACAGGATGTTTTCCACAACACTGGAACCTTCTCCTGGGTCAGGCTAAGGTTGAAGAGGTGCTGCAGAACCCCACAGAGCTGCTCTGCACAGACCTTCAGGACTCTGGGACTGACACCATCTGGACTTTCAGCCTTATTCTGGTTCAGTCTCTCCAGCTGCTTCCTCACCTGACTTCTAGAAATACAGAGTGGGGAGGCAAAGGAGGTATCAGCATCTTCTGATGTGGTTGAAGACCAACATGTAGAAGAAGAAGGGCCCATGACTGAGGTGGTAGATACAGTGTTTGAGGTGTGACAGGACAGCCTTGGGTCAAAGGAGGGTGGTATGTCTGTTTGGCTGTGGGCAAGAGAGGAGGATGCTGAGCTTGTTCCTGAACTGAACCTATTGAAGAAAGTGTTCAGTTCACTGGCTCTGTCCAGGCTTCCATCCTTCTGATCCTCCTTCTGCTTGAAGCCTGTGATCTTTTTCATCCCTGACCACAACTCTCTCATATTCTCTCTGAGGAAGTCTTTCGGATGAAAGATGAAACGTATCTATATTTTTATGCTTTGTTTTGTTTTTTGTTTTTTTGAATGTCCATAGGACCAGATTGAACTGTTTTGGATTTTTCTACATGTATTATTGAGCATGCATCAGGATACTCTCTCATATTGTTCTGTTGGAGCTTGCTCTCCAGCTTCTTCTTGTACACCTCCTTGCTATTTCTTATCTTGACTTTTAGTTGCTTCTGTGTACTCCTCAATAATTCCCTGTCTCCCTCCCTGAAGGTTCTTTTTTTTTGGTTTAGCAGTTCCTTCAGGTCAGTGGTGATCCAGGGTTTGTTACTGGGGAAGAATCTCACTGTTCTGGTGGGGATGGTGTTGTTTACACAGAAGTTTATATAGTCGGTCACACAGTCATGGCATTGATGTCCTCTCCATGTGGCTGGCACAGTGCATCCCAGTATGTAGCCTCAAAACAACCCCGCAGGGCTTCTTCTGCTTCCATTGACCATTTTCTCACTGTTCTCTTTATTGGAGGTTACCTCTGAACAAGGGGTTTATATTTTGAGCAGAGAAACACAAGACTGTAATCTGATTTGCCAAGAGGGGGTCTTGCTTTAGAGATGCATGAATCCTTGACATTTGCATAAAACAAGTCCAGCGTTTTGTTTTCTCTGGTAGAGCAGCTGACAAACTGTTGGAATGTCAGAAGTGTAGCAGAGAGTGAGACATGATTAAAATCCCCAGATATTGCAACAAACACACTAGGGTGTTGTGTCTGTAGCTTAGCAACCTTGCAGCTGATGACATCACACACAGTCTTGACAACAGCATTGGGTTGAATGTAAACTGTTGCCAAAATAACACTGGTGAACTCTCTTGGCAAATAATATGGATGACAACTTTGTGCTAACAGTTCAATATCTGGACTGCAGAGACGACACTTCACAGTAACATGTCCAGGTTTACACCATCGGTTGTTCACAAGCACTGCCAATCCACCTCCTTTCCTTTTGCCACTCCTCTTTAACTCTCTATCTGCTCGTATGGTCAGAAAGACTGGCAGAGAAACGCTGGAGTCGGGGATATGATCTTGCAGTCATGTCTCAGTGAAACACATAACACTGCATTCCCAATACGCTGGATGGGTCCTTGTTAGGGCCTGAAGTTCATCCAACTTGTTTCCCAGCGATCTCACATTGCCCATTATGATCGATGGAAGAGATGGTTTGAACTTCATTCTTCTCTCTTTCTCTTCTTTGCTCCTGCTCTGCATCCACGACACCTCCTTTTCAACTCATTTGGGATTTGGGGCTGTAGTTGTGATATGACTTGAGCTTTGGAGATGTTAATCAGCTGCTCCCGGTTGTAAAAAACAACCTTGTTGTTATGGTTACACATCATAACAAATGTCCAAAAGCAAAGATATTTCTGTAAAAATCCTTCCAGCTGCACAGCATCCAACACCAGAGGAAATAATCATCCAAAAAAAGCGATTTATATTCAGATAAAAGAGGAATTAAAGTTTTCAAAAGTAATATCTCAGAATGAAAGTAACAGAGCTACTCCATCATGCAGCCACCTTGAGCAGTGCAATACTGCATTACGCATTACTGCAGCAATGCAGCGTGGCATGGAGTGGATCAGTCTGTGGCACTGCTCAGGTGTTATGAGAGCCCAGGTTGCTCCGATAGTGGCCTTCAGCTCTTCTGAATTGTTGGGTCTGGTGTATCACATCTTCCATACCACATCAATTTTCTATGGGGTTAAGTTCAGGCGAGTTTGCTGGCCAATTAAGAACAGGGATATCATGGTCCTTGAACCAGGTACTGTAAATTTGGCACTGTGTGCAGGTGTCAAGTCCTGCTGGAAAATGAAAGCTGCATCTCTATAAAGTTGGTCAGCAGCAGGAAGCATCAAGTGCTCTAAAACTTCCTGGCAGATGGCTGTGTTGACCTTGGACCTCAGAAAACACAGTGGACCAACACCAGCAGATATGTCCAAAGTTGTGTTCTCTGACAAAAGTAAATTTTGCAATTCCTTTGGAAATCAAGGTCCCAGAGTCTGGAGGAAGAGAGCAGAGGCACAGAATCCACGTTGCTTGAGGTCCAGTGTCAAGTTTCCACAGTCAGTGATGGTTTGGGGCCATGTCATCTGCTGGTGTTGGTCCAAATTTACCTCATTTACCCATTCATACAGCACTCTACTACATCTCTACAAAGCTAATTGAACAAATCATTCTAAAGAGACTAATCAGAGCTTTATCACATTGTATGGGTGAAGCAGCTCAGAGAGGTAGGATGGAGCAAGACCATTTAAACTGTTAAAAACAAATAAAAGAATCTTAAAATGAACAGGCGGCCAGTGGAGTGAAGCCAGAGTGGGGGTGATGTGCTCCCTCTTATGAACTCCAGTTAGAAGTTGAGCAGCAGCGTTCTGGACCAACTGGAGACGTCTGAGAGAGGACTGGCTGACTCCAAGGTAAAGAGTGTTGCAGTAATCCAGCCGAGAGGTGATGAAGGCATGGATTACTGTTTCCAGCTGTTGCTGTGTGAGGATGGGCTTTACCTTAGCTAGCTGTCTGAGGTGATAAAAACTGGTCTTGACCACCGCTCCAATCTGAGAATCTAATTTAAAATCACTGTCCATTTTAAAACCCATTAGAAACAGTAGTCAAACTGAATTTTTAACAACGATATACAGTTTCAAAACAAATTAATTTAGTTTCAAACCATTAAATTCAGTTTCAATTTAGTGAAATTCATTTTCAAACCAGTGGTACAAGTTTCTGCCCATATTTTATTATCTGAAAAATCTTTGTTTCCAGATGATTGTCGACACATTAATGGTTTCTAGAACTTCACACACCTTTACAGGTACATCTAAAAAAGTTAGAATATCCTAAAAAAAAGTTCAATATTTTTTTGTCAATCACTTCAGAAAGTGAAACACATATATTATACAGATTTATTACACAGAGTGAAATATTGCAAGCCTATATTTCTCATAATTTTAATGACTTTATTGAATTTTTATAGCTTGCAGATAATAAAAACCCAAACTTTAGTGTCTCAGAAAATTTGAATATTGTAATGAAGTTCCATATTGTAACTTCATGTACAGACGAATCCTGAACATGAGCTACAAATGTTGCATTCTTCAAGTCAAGCCATTCCTGAACCTGAAGCATCATGATATTCTAATATTTTTAGATGTTCCTAAAAATGATGAAGCTGAAGCAAAACTCTACAGCTGCAGAAAGAAGTCTGGTTGCTTTCACAGCTGTGCTAAATGGTATCGGGTGATGTAAATGGTAAATGGACTGTACTTATACAGCGTCTTTCTATCTTATTTCAAGATACTCAAAGCACTTTACACTACAATCTGTGTCCTCATTTACCCATTCATACAGCTCTATACTAGATCTCTACAAAGCTAATTGAACAAATCAGAGACTAATCAGAACTTTATCACATTCATACACTGATGGGACACACATCAGAGGCAAATGAGGGGTTCAGTGTCTTGCCCAGGGACACTTCGGCATGTGACTGCTGGTGGATTTGAACCCTCAACTCTTGCATTGGAGGATGACTGCTCTAACCACTCAGCCACAGCTGCCCCAAAAATGAGGAACGCTTCACAAATTTGCTTGTCATTTGATGTGTGATGAAGGGGACTCGAGTGTTCATGTCCGAAGGCACCTGAGGGTCTTAATTCTGCCTTACGTTGCAGCACAGTTTTTCATTTTAGATGTTAGAAAAAACAATTTAGAGTTGTCCAGATTAGGTTTTCATTTATTTCCCACCTGATTGTGTCAGCTTCCTGAAGGGCTAGGCGGATGAGGCGAGCCATGGGTGTAAAGCCAGTGCCTGCAGCTAACAAGAAGAGTCTTGTGATGTCACGAAATGGGTGAAGACTGAAAGTACCCTCTGGACCACTCACGGATATATGACCACCTTAAAAATAAGAATCAGATCAAAAACATGTCCCAAAGTAAAAAATGTGTAAAAAAAAAAAAACCCTGAAAATATTTTCTCAGTGATATTTATTTTAAAAAGTTTAGCGGAACATACAGATTTTTAAAACTGTGATTTAGGTATGCTGCAATTTAAAAAGTAGGTTGCAAAACAATTTACCATCCTTAGTATTTTTCTTAATTTTGTACTCTTACAACCTGGAATTTAAAATGACATGTCCACAGTTCGTATTTATTATAAACCAAAACTACCATTTAGAAGATGAACAATATTTGTACTGTGAAACAAACAAACCAAAACTTATAATAATATTCCACTGTTTTTAGATGACCATGGTCCTCAGTCAGAAAAGGGTGGATTGCTCTCTTCAGATCGAGAAACATTTCAGGTCTTTAATTGTTTTAATACTGATGATTATGGCATACAGCTCATGAAAACCCAAAATGCCTGTCCCAAAAAATTAGCATATCATGAAAAGGTTCTGTAAACAAGCTATTAACCTAACCATCTGAATCAACGACGTAACTCTAAACACCTGCAAAAGATTCCTGAGGCTTTTAAAAACTCCCAGCCTTGTTCATTACTCAAAACCACAATCATGGGTAAGACTGCCGACCTGACTGCTGTCCAGAAGGCCATCATTGACACCCTCAAGCAAGAGGGTAAGACACAGAAAGAAATTGCTGAACGAGTAGGCTGTTCCCAGAGTGTTGTATCAAGGCACCTCAGTGGGAAGTCTGTGGGAAGGGAAAAGTGTGGCAGAAAACGCTGCACAACGAGAAGAGGTGACCGGACCCTGAGGAGGATTGTGGAGAAGGGCCGATTCCAGACCTTGGGGGACCGGCGGAAGCAGTGGACTGAGTCTGGAGTAGAAACATCCAGAGCAACCGTGCACAGGCGTGTGCAGGAAATGGGCTACAGGTACCGCATTCCCCGGGTCAAGCCATTCTTGAACCAGAAACAGCAGCAGAAGCGCCTGACCTGGGCTACAGAGAAGCAGCACTGGACTGTTGCTCAGTGGTCCAAAGTACTTTTTTCGGATGAAAGCAAATTTTGCATGTCATTCGGAAATCAAGGTGCCAGAGTCTGGAGGAAGACTGGGGAGAAGGAAATGCCAAAATGCCAGAAGTCCAGTGTGAAGCACCCACAGTCAGTGATGGTCTGGGGTGCCATGTCAGCTGCTGGTGTTGGTCCACTGTGTTTTATCAAGGGCAGGGTCAATGCAGCTAGCTATCAGGAGATTTTGGAGCACTTCATGCTTCCATCTGCTGAAAAGCTTTATGGAGATGAAGATTTCATTTTTCAGCACGACCTGGCACCTGCTCACAGTGCCAAAACCACTGGTAAATGGTTTACTGACCATGGTATTACTGTGCTCAATTGGCCTGCCAACTCTCCTGACCTGAACCCCATAGAGAACCTGTGGGATATTGTGAAGAGAAAGTTGAGAGACGCAAGACCCAACACTCTGGATGAGCTTAAGGCCGCTATCGAAGCATCCTGGGCCTCCATAACACCTCAGCAGTGCCACAGGCTGATTGCCTCCATGCCACGCCGCATTGAAGCAGACATTCATGCAAAAGGATTCCTGACCAAGTATTGAGTGCATAACTGAACATGATTATTTGAAGGTTGGTGTTTTTGTATTAAAAACACTTGTCTTTCATTGGTGGGATGAAATATGCTAATTTTTTGGGACAGGCATTTTGGGTTTTCATGAGCTGTATGCCATAATCATCAGTATTACAACAATTAAAGACCTGAAATATTTTAGTTGGTGTGTAATGAATCTGAAATAAATGAAAGTTTAATTTTTATCATTACATAATGGAAAATAATGACCTTTATCACAATATGCTATTTTTTTGAGAAGGACCTGTATATA